TTTTCAGTGAGTTCCCTCAGCATTACAGGTCATTGTAGGTGTTCTTGTCTACCTCCCAGAACTCGGTGGTAAAACCCTATTAATGAAGACACCATGTACTTGAGTTAGAGAACATGGAGAAGTCAAGCTGATACTGACCAGAAGTTTCATTCCACACTGGCTAGTTTTCATGATGCTGGAAGTTTCTAGCCCAAATACCAAGGTGAAGGCGTAAGTCACGAATAAGGCCACACCAGTTTGGAATTATGATTAATAGGGTGTTATTTATTTAAAGGGGAAAACTTACAGATCACCGTCCCAGACAACAGCCATCTGCACAACCAGGAAGGGAGTCTAGTCTCCGGCGGAGCAGGAAGTGAAGAGAGCGAGCAGAGGAAATAGCCGCTTTTTTAAAGGGAGAGAGACCACGCCCCAATGGGCTGGTATCACAGCAGCTATTGGTTGGAGGGGCGGAAGGACCTCCCGCAACACCAAGGGGGGGGGAAGGAATCATTAAAGCCAGTTGTGATCTCTGTGTGCTACAATAATAACTGACCAGACAAGACATATTCATTTCACTATAATTGTGGTGAAAATGTCTTGGGAGTAACCTACTGCTTCCTGGTTGGATTTAATAACTTCTGTACAAGGGTAAATCTATATCTGAGCATGGAATTAAGGTCAGAGGGATCATAGACCCTAGGTGAGAAATTTTAATATTATTCTGCTAAATGGACATAATATTATATGCCACTTCCTAATGAGTTATTATTATACCATAGGATGGGTATGGGTATAATGACATAAGCTATGGGTATAATGATACAAGGCATCTCTCAACCCTTATCGTGGAAGCTTGTGTTTGCAACAGATGGTCATTAATCTAGAGATCCACAACAAGGTAAGACACAGAGACTAGAATTTGGGAGAATATCTGGCCCTACATGAATTATATTAATGCTTCTTCCAAAGGCACAAAAAGAGAAGGTTGTGGGAGAGAGGATGACAAGACTGAAAGAGCCAGAGTTGGTGGATGGTGACAGGGAAACTGTGTCTTCTGCACACAGTAGGGCAGCTATAGATATGAACTGACCATGGTTGTGACAAAATGTGTAAGACCTGCCAAGCCCATGCTGGACTGAATAGCAGCATGGACAGGGGAATTGAGAATGGCAAGAACTAAGGAATGTGAATTCACAACCATGAGAAATTAAGATTGTAGTCAGAGAGGGGTAAAATGAATATTTTCTTGAATGAGACAAAAATTGGCATCTGTACAGGACTCAGGACAATGTTTTGTGTGACCAGTTCAGGTTGCATTTGTGAAGTCAGGGATCAGAAAAATTGCCTTTCAAGGGTTGTGTTCCTGCCTATCTAGTCAGCGGCTTGTCTAAGATCCCAGTGTTTCTAAAGGCCACATTACTCTCCTTTATTATTTTATGACTGTGAATCATTTTTTGGCTAAGAAATGAAGATACAATAGAATGAAAAAGAGCCAGTGGTTTCAATTTCTCTTTTTTCTTCTTGGAAATGCAGGCAATTCAGAAAAACAGAAAGATCCGTATGCTTTGATGATTGGCCAAAACACACTGAGAGGGAAGGGGCAGAAGTCAAAAGAGTATATAAGTCCAGCCCAACTGCCTTAAACCTGCTGCTTTTCCACAGAGGAAACAGAGAGGAGATTCAAGACTAAAGACTGTAGCACAGCGGAGCGCGGTTCCTGAGCGGAACTACAGCAAATAAATCCACTGGACACAGGATAATGTAAGTGGATAGCTACATTCAGATCTACCTTTGAACCCTCACCATCGCCAAAAAGCTGATAGATAAAAAGACTTTTAGAAACAAACCCTGAAAGTGAGGGCCTCAGTTTGGAGCTAAGGAACTTTGGTGGGAGGCAGGCAGGACAGGTTTGTAGATGGTCTTAGCCAATCCTTCGAGTTGAGGTAGACATAAGGGAAATGAGCTCAGTATTGGTTTTGGTAAAACCTCATTAAGTTGTTTTGGCTTGTCTCTTATTCCTCTCACTAAAATGGTTATTAATATGTAAAGGAATATCTCTGCCGTGTGTATGAGGTTTGTTGTATCTCATCTCAAATTGCTTCTTAGTTCATGGTCAATTATTTAATTCCTTACACCCCGAGGATTCCGACCTGTAGAGACGAGGTCTCTTTGCTCGCTGATTCTGCTGTAGCTGGCTGTGGAAATCTGTGCCTGAAGAATCTTCTTCACTGTGGTTTTCTTTTTTTTTTTTTTAAATTTCTTTCTTTCTTTTTTTTAAATTGAGAATAAGAAAAAAAAAGTTTCCGCCTCCTCCCAGCCTCCCATTTCCCTCCCCCTCCCCCCACTCTTCTCCCCCTCCCCCCACTCTTCTCCCCCTCCCCTCACTCTTCTCCCCCTCCCC